TGTGCGTCTTTTGAGTGACGTCACCCGCACGTCGACGTCGTCTTTACCGTGGACAGACATGGGGCTATATAATAGCGTGGATCTGCAGCGGCCTGCGTCCACCAACATGTCGCAAAAGCCAGGCATCATGGCAGAGGACCGCCGAACGGTCCTCTTAATCTTAGGAAGGTAATTATCTCCGTGTGTGTCACATGGAGACGCAGGATACGTGACAGTTTATCACTAAATAGCACTAATACATCAGGACTACACTTTCTTTATTCTACAGTTGTATTTATACAAAATGCTAGCAAAATTACAAGTATGATACTTGATTAAGCTTTTATAAAAATGCCATGTACAGTGTGTCTACAATGCTAATGTTTTTAGAGTTAGCCAGTGTTATTAAAATACGGTAAGCTACTTGTTCAACCTTTAATTATGAGACCCCCTATTAAAGCTTTATTTAATCTTATAATTTTTATACCATTAGTTGTTCTCAAGAAAAATAGCAATTTCATTATTTATTTTTTTAAACAGTGAGAGGTTTATCAATGCTTTAAATGATAAAGGGTACCATTTGTATTGTTTTAGTTATCAAAATCATGCCTAAAGTGCAGCTTGTGTTTCAAAAAAAGTTGATGTCAGACTTATGTAATCCAAGACACATATGGAATATTATACTTCAAATACAATTGTTAATGAATGTCTTATAAAATAAAAGGTTGGATTAAAAGTGCCTTTTCAAAAAGAGGGAAATATAATAGTCACACACTATTCTGTTTTAGTACTAGCACTTTGAAGATCCCCAAATGTTCCCGTGTGTTTGCTCCTCGTTCGGCATGGGATCTGAAAATTGGTAGCAGAGTAAAGGTTCTCCTGCCCGTTGGCAAAGTTGGCATTGGATATGTGTGTACACTTGGACAGCTGGATGGGAAAGTAGAATATCTAGTGGGTGTGGACTTGGAGACTCCAGAAAGCTGCCAGCAAGCTTTGGTGACTAAACGCCATCACTCCTTACATGGGTAAGTCCCTCCTTGGCTTTTGAATGGATGTTTCCAAGTTATATAAGGCCATTTCCTTAATTGAAAAAATATAATCTTTTCCTGGAACACATCTTCTAATTCTTAGTATCCATATAATGCAATAAAGAAGTCTTCTGGAGGACACACTAGGAACAATTTAAGCTACAACATTTGAAAGATGAAGAAACAATAGTAAGGAGGAAGAAAAAATAAGGAAAGGAAGAAATCAGTTACACATTCTAAGGAATAATGCTGATGTTATTCAGTTTTCCATCATAGTGAGCCAATGTGCAAAACTAACCTTTCTGACATTGTAGATTTTACCTCTGTTCCTATTTACTAGGAAAACACATAGACCTGTCAAATCATATGAAATTGCCTTGTGACATTCAAATTTTCCTCAGTCCTCCCTATTTCCTGACAACCCAGCATTATCACAATTTTGTCAGGGCAGTCCTGATTTTTGGGTCCTGTTTCACTTTCTCGACTTTCTCGACTTTCTCGAGTTATCTGGCATCCTGCTTTTGGGGATACCAGGGAACTGTCTCCAACAAGCATGCCCGGGGCACTAGGACGCCGCAGAGATTACTAAAACCTGCAGGGATTTGCCCTCAATGCAAATTGCTGTTTGAAATGGTGTTAAATGAGTGGACATACTTGTTAATTCAGCAGGAGAGGTGACATCATCATTAGAAAATTGTATTAACTAATTACATTTAGTTACACAGTAAAAGCATTAACAATAGTAATAACCAAATATTTACTTTATCATCTTTGCTCTATGATACTATCTTAAATACAACTTGGTTTTGGTACCACTGTAGTATAACTCATGACGGTGGTGGAATACCTCATAAATGAAATGTGGGTCAGAATGATAAATGCCAGAGTATGAACGTGATTAATACCCACCCGAGAAAAAAAGAGTTGTTTTTCAGTGAGCAGCCATTTGCTAAAATTTGCATTGTATGAACTGCTGGCAATTTAGATCTTTTTTAATGTGTTGTC